TATCACGGAGACGAGGACGATGGCTCCGTATTTCATTTGAACGTGACGGCTGCTGCGCATCTGATGGGATAAATTCGTTTTGGGACAATAGTGATCATGTCCTTGTCCTGCATAAGACAGGATGCACTTCTTTCCAATGGAAATGTTCCACAGAAAACGAATCCTACGCCTTGTTCCAATGGAGTACTCAGCCACGCTTTACCCATCTCTTAGATATGGAGTGTTGATAAAAGCAAGCGCAGAATCACCAAATAGTTCTTCACTCAGATCCTCTCCTTTGAGGAAATCCTGAGGTGCTCTGAATTGTTCGATAAAGGGAAGGTCAATAGGAAAATGTAAGGCACCTATTCCGACCGGACCTTGCCTCCAACCCCTTAGTGAAAAGAACATCCGAAAGGTGACAATCATCAACTTGTAGAATCGTAGGACAATTTACGACGCTTTCGAACGATAAAATTCTCTTCTTCAACTTCATTTTCAGCGCTTTCTTTGATTGATTCATAGTACCTAGAAGGTAAAGGATGATCTACCCAAAAGAAGACAAAGTTGACAAAATATGAACGGAAAATGACAACAAACCTAACAACGTTCTTGTTCGCCCTGATGGCAGAGGCGTCGAAAGCAATCACACGGAGTGAGGCAAGACTACGTGCTCTGGACAAAGCCACATACGACTGACCTTCAGCAAACACTCTGAAAGAGAAGAAACATAGAGCTTGAAGGCACGGTTTACGCCGGTCATGTGGGCGGGGAAATACAACCATTTACGATTCCACATTGGCGTCCCTCTTTTTTATCGAATATTTATCCTTCTTTTTTATCGAACATGAAACTAGGTTCCTCGTAAAATCCTTAGTTGTATCTGATGTGACATTATAGGTTAGGAATTTACTCAACGCCAGTTTGGTCAAAACGATACGAAAAAACTACCTTTCAAGGCTCACTTCCACTGCATCAAGGGTTAGTCCTTGAGATTTGTGGATTGAAATGGCCCATGCTAGTTGCAGTGGTAGCTGGCGTCGACATGCTGGTTCATCGTGCCCCGGAATACGAACCGCAAAGCGGATCGGCGTGACCTGTGGAAAAATATACATGAAAGTTACTGTGTAGGAGGGAAAAACAAAAAAAATCAAACCTCGATCTCTTCATGGGTCGAAAAAAATTTGACCACCGGAAATCCTTTCTTTGAGAATTTCGTGACAACTCCTCGCGAACCGTTTGAAAGTCCTCGGGATAGATCAACGTTTTTCATCAGCATTACCTGGACAGAGAAAAACTTCAGAATGATCATCAGCAACTTATACTGCAACGTTCATTCAACGAAAATATTACCTGAGTATTGATTTTTAGGACGAGTTTTTTTGCAACAGTGCCTTGAAGTGAATCTGGTATGTATTGACTATCTTCAGCTTCGAAAGTTTTGCTGGTTCCTGAAAAACTGAGCAAGTGAGCTAGCTACACAGCGAATATCTCTCTATAGTGCAAACACGATTACTTTTTGTGCTCAGGGCACGTCGGACGTTAAGGGTCTTCAACGAGAGAGCTAGTAAATGGTCGCTAGAGATAGGGGATTGGCCAGCTTTATCTTGTGAATTTTACCCTCCCATTTTCATCGCAGCACTTTCTGAAGTGAAAACAGAAAATATATTTCGAAAAACTGAGAAAGGTGTTAAGAAGTTTAGGAAGATGGCGATAGGTAGGCAGCAGGATAGGCGATCCGTACCAAAGTAGCTTAGTTCGAGGGAGGAGTGCTCTTATTTTGCGAAATTCTCTGAGCAGCAGAATGGGCCCTGATAGTGCTCAACCGAAGAAGCACCTATCACCACCTTCCTAAACCCATGACGTTACTAATGGTATACGTACTAACACGAAAGCACCGCTGGGGAAGATTTTGGAAAACTTTTCCAATTTTTGGAACTCCTGAGCCTTCTGGAATGAAAAACAGCCTCTTCATACCCGCGTACTCTTATTACATAAATATGACCAAAAAACGCAAAACCGCCGTACCTTCGAGTTCCTCAAGGCATCGCTTGTTCACTGCCAACGCATCCGAAGTGTGCGTGCATAGCCTTGTGGGGACGACACCCTCAGCTGAGAAGTTGTTGGCTTTGGTCTGCGCCAACGCCGTGACCACATCATCGCTACATCTGCAGTAAAAAAATCCTGGATGAAGCGTATCAGGCGGGATGGATATAGCGCGGCGCCAAACCCGTTCTCTAGCAGTTGTTGAAGCGGGTAAGCGATAACTGGTGGAAAACGACTGATATGAACGATATAATATAGTCCTGTCGCTCGCTCCTTTCAATAACAGGTGAATGACGGATCTGGCGCTCCGCTAAGCCTATCCAGCTTGAAACGCCCGTTTGTTCGCAGTGAAGAAGATCGTAGGAGGAAGGAAAGGGTAGATAAGAACCCACTTCCCAACACGTATTTCCTGCAGAACCTTAACGAAGCGAGAGTCATCTTGCCGATGAACACATTGCAGAATAATGGTCTTTTGTATAGAGCGATTCCAGGCTTCACACTGAAAGCGAGAAATGGAGCTACAGTTGCAGAATAAAGAGAAACTACGACATTTGGAAGTGACTATCACAAGAAACCTCAAAGCAAAACTTCACGGTGTCGTTTTTAGATACTGGTGGTAACTGAAGGAAGTCGCCCGTGACGATCAGCTTCACACCACCGAAAGGGCGGTTGACTTCACGAATATGCCGAGCAACCGGAAAAACAACTTTTCAAACTAAACCAACAAGAAACACGTGAGTAAAAGTGAAAAGCCAAGTACAACAAACTGCAGTCAAAAGTAGTCACCAAAGTTTACAGAAAAATGCAATATTTCAATATAACTTT